TGTCATATGTCTCCAAATACATATATATGAAGTCCTCAAGGTAGATACGATCTAGGGTCGAAGGGTACAAATGACAGAGTTGTGGCCTCATAACAACTCAGGATCGCGCGCTGTATTATTTTAGCGCTTCTACTGGAGCGGCGCGTGCATAATTTGTTGTAGCGACCGCTGAAGCCAGCGCTTTGCAGCGCGTGAAAAATTGCTATTTTTGACGTTGTAAACTTATTTGACGCGCCACGCGGCTGCACGCCTTTGGGAGATGCTCCAAGGAAATGTCCTTGGAGCTTGTCCGGGCGCGTACCGCTGGGCAACGCCACCTCTTGCCGTTGCTGCTGCAGCATCTCGTTCCCATCCTCCTGCTGCAAGTCGACTCGAAAAAAAAGAAAAAGACATGCATACCGCTACATGATCGGTTTTGTTATACATGCACGCCTTGCACGCTGACAGAGACGTATCTCTATTCAACTCATTTTGCACTACCTTAAGCATGCGTGGAACATGGATGAGTAGCTGATTTCGTACCTTCATTATCTATACCGTTTGGGGCCTGTTGAGCCAATCACGCATGCTTTCTTGGTGACAACATGCATATGATCCACACCGTCATTTTTCCTTGTGACATGACAACAATAAGTGAGTAGGTGATCTGTCAATCATTAATACTCCACTCGAACGGGTCAAATCACTGTGATCTAGTACTGTAGTTCATTTAAATCGACGGGAGCAGCGCTGCTGGAGTAGTACTATAAACGAAGTCCGTGCCTACAACTACAAGTTAGCAGTAGCACACGAAAAAGCAAGCAAGAAAGAAAGAATAATATGCCTGTCAAGCTTCTCCGGACGCCTACCGCTGGGCGACGCCGCCTCTTGCTGGTGCTGCAGCTCGTTCCCGGCCTCCTGCTTCTGCTGCTCTCGCGCTCGGCATCGGCATCAGCGTCGGCCTCGACGGTGGTCACCCACCTGCCAGGATTCGATGGCCCTCTCCCCTTCTACCTCGAAACCGGGTAAGCCTGTCGTTGGTTCCATCTTGAAATGGGCACGAGCCTCTCATGGCCGGAATTGCATGCCGTGTGCTGCAGATACATGGGCGCGGAGGAGGAGACTGGGACATACTGTTTACCGTCGGTCGGATCGTATACGTAACGGGGTACTTTCCTGTTTCCCGAGCCACCTTCGGCTGCTGGGTCAGGATTTCTCACGAGACGTACACGGGACCGGGCCAACACCTTCGTGATGGCATAACGACGGGACATCCGAGGCAACGTTGGGAAAGGATGGGCGTACGTGAAAACGGGTGTTTTTCCTAAGAAAAATCACCCATGTTCCGTACGCCCACCAGGAAGGACCCACTTGAGGCGTATAGGGGACCGGGACAGCGACGACGTTGCCACCGAGGGGCAATGATTTTCCGGAGGCGACATTCGAGGGACACCGTTGCGACTGTTTACCGTCGGTCGGATAGTATACGTAACGGGGTACTTTCCTGTTTCCCGAGCCACCTTCGGCTGTTGGGTCAGGATTTCTCACGAGACATACACGGGACCGGGTCAACACCTTCGTGATGGCATAACGACGGGACATCCGAGGCAACGTTGGGAAAGGATGGGCGTACGTGAAAACGGGTGTTTTTCCTAAGAAAAATCACCCGTGTTTCGTACGCCCACCCATTGCGACTGTTTACCGTCGGTCGGATCGTATACGTAACGGGGTACTTTCATGTTTCCCGAGCCACGTTCGGCTGTTGGGTCAGGATTTCTCACGAGACGTACACGGGACCGGGCCAACACCTTCGTGATGGCATAACGACGGGACATCCGAGGCAACGTTGGGAAAGGATGGGCGTACGTGAAAACGGGTGTTTTTCCTAAGAAAAATCACCCGTGTTCCGTACGCCCACCAGGCTCTTCTACTACTTGGTCGAGTCGGAGAGGAGCCCCGGCACAGACCCCGTCATCCTATGGCTCACCGGCGGGCCCGGCTGCTCGGGCTTCAGCGGCATGGTCTTCGAAGTCGGTTAGAGCATGTCTAGCAGACCCTTTAAAATCGCAAACTGTAAAACCGAGATACGGGTCGGAAAAAATGCATTTTAAGGGTTCATTTTAGCTGCGACCGAATAGATACTTTAAAACAAACTGTAAAACTAAGATAAAAGAGCTCCTTCCTCAAGTCGGTCGCGCCCCGTCGCCTATCGGTCGCGCCCCGTCACCACAACGGCCGCGCCCAGCCTCGCCGGCCACGCCCCGTCATCTCTGCCGTTCGCGCCTTGCTCTATTGCCTGCCACGCCGGCCGTCGTGCCCCTTTACCTGCCGCGCCGTGATGATTCCGGCGGCCAGGCCGAGGCCATGGGAGGCAACGAAGATGTCGATCTCGTCCAATCCGAACCGGCGGCGATCGATTGCGGCGTTTAGCGGCCTTTTCCGGTGTGCGGTGATGAATTTCGGCGAGTTTAGGGCGGATTTCGGCAAACTCTGCGGCGGTGTGTTTGCTCCGACGAGGTTTGACCGGTAAACAGGGCCCCTTATGTTCGGCCTTCCAACCTCCAAATATAAGGGTTTCGGTTGTGCATTTTCGATGGCCCTTAAAAAATTTACGGGTTGGACCATGATACGTCTCCAACATATCTATAATTTACAAAGCATTCATGCTATTATATTATCTGTTTTGGATGATTATGGACTTTACTATACACTTTTATATTATTTTTGTGACTAACCTATTAACCGGAGGCCCACCCCATATTGCTATTTTCTTGCCTATTTCAGTGTTTCGAAGAAAAGGAATATCAAACGGAGTCCAAACGGAATGAAACCTTTGGAAAAGTTATTTTTGGAACGGAAGCAATCCAGGGAACTTAGAGTGCAAGCCAGGGAAGCTTCGAGGAGGCCACGAGATAGGGGGGGGGCGCGCGCCCTCCACTCTCGTGGGCCCCTCGTGGCTCCCCTGACCGACTTCTTTCGCCTATATATTCCCATATACCCTAAAAACATCGAAGAAGAAGATAGATCGGGAGTTTCGCCGCCGCAAGCCTCTGTAGCCACCAAAAACCTCTCGGGAGCCCGTTCCGGCACCCTGCCGGATGGGGAACCCATCACCGGTGGCCATTTTCCTTTGAAGTTATCTTGTCGGATTGAGTCTTTAAGGATTTGAGAACACTTGATGTATGTCTTGCCGTGCTTATCTGTGGTGACAATGGGATATCACGTGATCCACTTGATGTATATTTTGGTGATCAACTTGCGGGTTCCGCCCATGAACCTATGCATAGGGGTTGGCACACGTTTTCGTCTTGACTCTCCGATAGAAACTTTGGGGCACTCTTTGAAGTACTTTATGTTGGTTGAATAGATGAATCTGGGATTGTGTGATGCATATCGCATAATCATGCCCACGGATACTTGAGGTGACAATGGAGTATCTAGGTGACATTAGAGTTTTGGTTGATTTGTGTCTTAAGGTGTTATTCTAGTACGAACTCTTGAATAGATTGATCCGAAAGAATAACTTTGAGGTGGTTTCGTACCCTACCATAATCTCTTCGTTTGTTCTCCGCTATTAGTGGCTTTGGAGTGACTCTTTGTTGCATGTTGAGGGATAGTTATATGATCCAATTATGTTATAATTGTTGAGAGAACTTGCACTAGTGAAAGTATGAACCTTAGGCCTTGTGTCCTACCATTGCAATACCGTTTACGCTCACTTTTATCGCTTGCTACCTTGCCGTTTTTATAATTTCAGATTACAAATACCTTTATCTACTATCCATATTGCACTTGTATGACCATCTCTTCGCCGAACTAGTGCACCTATACAATTTACCATTGTATTGGGTGTGTTGGGGACACAAGAGACTCTTTGTTATTTGGTTGCAGGGTTTTTTGAGAGAGACCATCTTCATCCTACGCCTCCTACGGATAGATAAACCTTAGGTCATCCACTTGAGAGAAAATTTGCTATTGTCCTACAAACCTCTGCACTTGGAGGCCCAACAAAGTCTACAAGAAGAAAGTTTTGTAGTAGACATCAATCTCTTTTCTGGCGCCATTGCTGGGGAGGTGAGTGCTTGAAGGTATATCTTTAGATCTTGCAACCGAATCTTTTTGGTTCTTGTTTTATCACTAGTTTAGTTTATAAAAGAAAACTACAAAAAATGGAATTGAGTTTGTCTCATACGTTTCATCTTTTTAATATCTTTCATGAGAATGATGGTAAGAAAAATTATGCTCAAGTGCTAGAAGAATAAATCTATAAAATGTTTGGCACTAAATCTTTGTATGATGATCATGATTGCAATGTTGTTAGTATGAATTATTTGAATACCCATGATACCAATGATATGCAAAGCCACAAGCTTGGGGATGCTAGGTTTGATGAAGATGATATGTTTAGTCCCCCAAGTTTTGATGAGAATATTTATCATGATGAAAGCATGCCTCCTATTTATTGTGATAATTATGAAAGTGGATTTGGAGAGGTCATGACTTTATTTAGTGATGAATCCATTATTTCGGAAGAAGTTCTAATTGATTATGAGAACAAAGTTGCTATCTATGATGATTATTGTGATGACTTGTATGCTATTAAGAATAATGATAACCATGAAACTTGTCATCATGATTTTAGTTTTTAATTGGATTATGCTTCACATGATAGTTATTTT